AAACTATTACTAATTTCAACTAAACTAACTTGTGCTTGACAATATACAAAATTAACCTTACAGACAGTAAACAACTTTGCTCCAGCGCTAGCTGCCTGGCCTCAAACACCCATAATCTGTTATTCTAACAACCTTTTTATCTCATCTACACACAAGGACAGAAACTGAACACAATTGCTAATGGAAAACATATACATGCAACACTTTCCAGCTTCCTCTTTAACCACACAACACAAACTACTTGATGACGTGAATTAATTCAAAAATTCAGCTTTTTCTCTCATTGATCATTATGGAAGATCATCTCATTTCCATCATTCCAAATCGACCACATAATAATTAACCAAGAAAACAAATAAAATAACTCTTCTAACATGAGCAAGTGAAAATTTAATTTTATAGGGTCATAGTTTATGTTGAGCCATTTTTTATTTTATATATTATAATTTATATTATATTCACATATGATAAAAAAAAAAAAAAAAACAAAGGTTTTGGCCTCACCCTTAAATATTGGTCAAGCCCTATCCCTCCCACAACGGCTTAGTGCATTCAAGGAAATTAATTTCCTTAGGTGTTAGTCCCAAGACTTAAATCCTAGACCTGGCTTACAAGACAACACTTACTTACCAATGGATCTAACCCTTTGTGTTCCCAACCTTAACATTATATACACCTATCAAACATCCCATAGATAAAATGTAGGCAAGCAGCATCAACAGTATCAGTGCAAAACAGAGCTAAATCCCCTCCAAGATTACAGCATCTCATCCAAAGATAAGGAGACTGAGTGCATTCTACAAACAAATGATTCATATCCTCTCCATCAACACCAAGAAAAACAACAAATTTATCTAAGACCTCTTTTAATCAAACCATTAGGTCTGCATTTAAATGTTGACATAATTAATGCATCCAAAATGATAAACAAAACAAATTGAATGAGAATAGACTCAAGATCAACTATTGATAAATTCTTCTCCACGTCTTTAGGGTTGTTGGGTGGTTGTGGAATTAAAGAACAAAAATCTTTGATGATAGGTTGACGTCAAACAGGGAAAATCTTTCCATTTCTCCTGTACTTTATTGTTGGGAATTTAGGGTATGGTGTGATGATGGGTTGTTGTTGGTTACTTGGTACTATAAATGGATTCGTGGACAATTAGTTTACCCAGCTTCAAAATGCTGCAAGATGAAAACAGTCCTAACTTTGTAGTTGAGGTTGTTACTCTCTTCTTTTATGATTGTAAAAAGTCTATTCATAACATGGCTAGAGCTCTTATAATATTTGGGCCAGAAAGAAAGAATTATTATATTACTTTAAAAATAAGAAAATTGGGCTTGCTGTATTTTAGTGGTGTTAATTTTCTAATTACTTAGATATTAGAGCCCAAAACGAAAAGTATCATGGTGGGAACTTGGAAGGAAGTAAGGCACACATAATCTCACCTTGCGCCATCCATCAAGCAACTTTTCTCCTTCCTCTGTCATATCCTACATTTGACAAACAAAAAGCAAATTAAGATTAAAAAAAAAAAAAAAAAATCATGGCAAATATTTGATTTTACTAGTAATTACTATTATCCATCCAGAATTGCTGAAGGCGCTAGGCACCTCTAGGCAGGAGGCCTCACCCTAGAGCCTAGGCAGCACCCAAACCACCTTGGCAGTGCCACCCTTAAAAAAAATCTGAAAATTCAGAAAAATTGGGGAAAATAATAATAATAATAATCATATCAAAGTCTAAAATCAATTAATCAACAATTAAAATTGAAAAACAAAACAGTGTAGTTTAATTTAAAAAAAAAAAACCCACAAAGAGGGGTAGGGTGGTATTGCCTTGTTGCCCAGATCAAAGTGGGCAGCATAGGGCTGCCTAGCGCATGAGTGCTGCCCAGGAAAGCCTAGGCAGCACCTTTGGCAACACTGGATCCATCTCCTGTTAGTTTTGATAGAAAGTGCAGAAATTAAAGAGAAGTTCCATGGTTGGAACTTGGAAGTAAGTAAGGTACACATAATCTCACCACTGGCCTGACTTCATCGAGCAACCTGAATTCTTCACTGAACTCTTGTGCTTCCTTTGTCTTACCCTTCATTTGACAAAGAAAAACAAATTAAGATAAAAAAAAATGGCAAATATTTGAAATTAAATATTTATCACATTCATTTGTAATTGCTGTCATTTCATGGATCATCGATCCATCTCCTGTTAGTTTTGATAGAAAGTGCATAAATTAAAGATTTTCGATTGTACCTTTGAAGTTTCTGTGTATGCTTCACCAAAGGCTTCCCACAGTTCCTTAATTACAGGCATCTCACAAAAGGCCATGAAATCTTTGGGTTGAAACTGCATTTATAATTGAAACAGAATAGATGAGGATTTTTTAGGAATATAATTCAAGTAAACATCAATCATTCTGAACAATATAGATTCAATCATTAATATTAAACCATTTTTTCCCCACAAAATAAACTATTACATCATAGAGAAATAAACTCTTCCAACACAGAATATA